GATACTTTTTGTATTAGAAATGTTTAGTGGAGATAGGATGTCTAGTTAGACTGTTAACTGCTTAGTCATGCTTATGAGTTTCTACAGGGTACATCTGGTCAAGGATAACTAGAGAGAAGAGTTGATGACTGTCAGCAGACAGGGTGTTTAATATTATTATTATGACGTGTATAACTGTAGCCTTAGCCATAATATGTTCTTATGTTTAAGTCACGACATGTTACTAGAAGTCTGTGAGAATGTTTTTAGCTACACACCACTTAACCAACAGACACACACACACACACGTTGATTTGCTTCATGTTTTGACTAGTGCTATGGCCAGCTGCAAAGCTGGCAACAGAGACGTCTCGGTTGATGTTTCTGTGTAGTATGGGGCTAGCCCAACCGAAGGGATATAATGTATAGGCCTGGTGGGTTCAGGGTCTTTCATCTTACATCTGCCTGCGTGCAGCATGGAGGTGCAAGATACCTGAGCGTGTAATGTTAATTTTACCTGTGATCCTTTGAATAAATCAGCACCGTTTTGAAGTTACTTGGACTGTCTCGTCTCTCAGAGTTAGCAATGGTAAGAAGAATCAAAATCCTGCAGTGTTCATCACACTAAAAGTCTGTTCATCACACATAGGTAGAGCCAAACAACACCAGCATCCTCTGTGCCATCTTCTGGATGTTTGGATATTTGGCTGCACTTAATGAAGCATAAAACTCATCCAGTTTAAGAGAGTTGAACTTCTCCTTTAAGACGGTGTCACATTGGAGATCAATCAGTTCCAACTGCAACTCCTGTGGCAGGGTCTTGTGTAAAGGGACATGACACCAGCTGAAGTGACTTGTCAATTTTTCCAAAATTAGAGAACCAACGGCAGAATTCTCCATGCAGGTCGTCCAGTGATTTCCTGTATTTTTTCACATGTCGAGGGGCCTCTTTCAGCGTAGCCAGTGTGGGCAAATGAGCGAATGACTTATTTGACATTTGCTTTGAGAATAAAGCCTGCTGTCCCTGGTAGGCTAGAATCAGGGTTGCGTCAGGAAGGGCATCCGGCGTAAAACATGTGCCAAATGTCAACATGCGGGTTGTCAGTATGATGATTCGCTGTGGCGACCCCTAAACGGGAAAAGCCGAAAGTGACTTTCTTTAAAGCCGTCCCTGGGAGGCCAGTGGTTGAGGCGCAGCGCTTTTCCCCCGGTGCCCGGGTTCGAATCCAGGTTGCATCAGGAAGGGCATCCGGTGTAAAACAAGTGCCAAAATGTCAACATGCGAGTGTGACGATTCGCTGTGGCAACCCTTAAACGGGAAAAGCCAAAAGTGACTTTCTTTTTTTGAGAATAAAGCTAGCTTGGTTTTGAAGGCTTTGACGTTTGTGAACATTTCGTGCACAAACTAATCTTTCCCTTGTAGCTTCACGTTCAGCTCATTCAT